GTTTGTAAAATATACATGTTCGAAGTCATCCTGATTTTGTCAATCAACTAATTATATTTAGATTCATTATGAAGTCGTACAAACGTGGATTAATTTTCATGGTTAGCACTTTTTAGCGAGATAATTTTCTTCGGGGATGGGATCGGTAACTCCATATTCAACCCTCCTCTTTTTATCCAGGCTTTGGACAGGTAGTAGCCCCAGGGGAGTTCCAGGCGGAGTTAAAACATAACAATAGTGTCGAGTTTTCCTATTTGAACAGACATATCATAGTTTAAACTGAAAAATTTGTGATTTGAGGATAGATTGTCAAGATGAATATGCTCTTACTTATATTCACTTGGTATTGTTTACTTATGTCCTCCCATTGTTATTTAGGACTGTAATTGATCAATCTCTCTTATTGGCATATGTGCATAATATGTGTATTGACTCGATATTTTCCTAAGTCACTAGCATTCTAATCATAGATGGATAGTGGCTAGTAGTGGAATCCAGGACACACGTTTCGTCTTATTTTGAACTCATCAGCTGGATGTACTTGTATTCTAGAATTGATATTCACTCTGGAACTCGAATCCAGTACTATTCGCTTACAAGCGCTATGGTGTTATCCACTTAGTTACTGAGTCCTGATATTCACTAAGTAGATAAGGTGATACAACTTGAAACGAATGGTACTGGTTTCGAGTCCTGGGGTGAACTTCAACCCTGAGATATATCCTGGATTACACTGCTAGCCATTATCCATCTTTGCTTTCATTAATGTTTCAGTGTAAATTTTAACTGCTCATTAGTAGTGGTAGTATGGTATCTAATGAAAATATTGTGAATGAAAGGATATAATAGGTATACTATTGCGTTTAGATTCTTTTCATTTTCAAGAAATTGATTACTTTGTTAAATTACTATTTCACATCAGAAATATTCATTTGCATTAGGTTTTTGAAGTATGATTCTTCATGTATGAACTAGATCTAACCGGTAGCCTAGTACTCTACACCTACAAAGTTACTGCTTTACACAACTAAAGAATGAGGTTAGATACTTGAGGAAAACTGAATATAATATAATATATATAAATAAGAAACATGTAAGATGGTGGTTAAAGGTAGTCAACAGGAAAACCTGGACACAAGTTTCGTGCTGTTTGGCACTTGTCAGTAAGCTGTGCCTGACACACATGACACTGATTACTACCCAGTGATCAATCAGTTGCAAACACAGCTCAGTCCTACGTGAAATCTAAATGGCTAACAAAGTTGCTGAATCCTATTCGAAGACATTTATGTAAGTATTCTCTGAGGGATTCTTTTGAATTGGTCAATCATTTAGGTGATATTAAGGTGAGATTATCATTTATGGATGAACCAATCAGGTATAAGATAACAGGTCTTGGATTTTGGCGCGAAGTTCATTCAGCCATTTGGATAAATAAAGTTTCGACATTATAGCTGATTTCAGTTTGTGATTAAAACCTTAAATGTAATTCTTAAACTTAACCATCAATTGTAAATCATAATTCTAATTTCTCACATTGGTTTATAACCCTCATTTGGTCCTAGTTATCATATGGACACTCTCAAGGTCACTTCCTATAATTCTTACTATAATATTCACAAAACCCCTTCTCTGGTTATAACCATCATATGACCAGTAGTGAATGTCACCAAGATGGATTCCCTGGAATTCTAGTGGGAAGTCGTGACCAGTGTCGTTCAACAGGGTCTGCTGTGAGATAGTAACACCTTAGTGGCAATCATGGACGGTGGGGCAATATCGCGCATTGGTTGAAGTTAGACATTAACATCGTTGGATTCCGGCCGGCTTAGTGGTTTAGAAGTTAAGTGCTCGCGCACAAAACTGATAGGTCCTGGTTTCGAATCTCGTGAAGCAGGATCATGAATGCACACTGTTGAGGAGTCTCATATTAAGATGAAACGACCGTTCAATGCGTTCAGGTTTTCAATGGTTGGTCTAACATCAATTGACACATGCATTCAATGATTCAACTAATTTTGTTTCTAATCATAAATAGTCTACGATTTCAATGCCTATTTTAATTACTTTGTATTATATTTCATTTAAATAGTGAATAAATGAATGATCTATCCAAATTTCATAAAAGAACTATTATTTAAATCAATCATATAAAAAAACAAAGGTGGTGAGGGAGGAGGAGGAGGAAGAGGGGGAGGACGAGAAGGACACGACGATAACACTTAGATTTGAAACATTAACTATACTTCCCTCTCCCCCATGCTCCTCGTTCTCTCACCCCCCCCAACACTTCCCCCTTCTTTGACAAAATGAAATTAGATACTATTTTTTACATTACTATGTGTCATTCATGTTTTCAACAGATGACAGAGCAATGATTAATTTAACTTATTATATGTATATTGACATAGTTACTTATTATATAATGTGATTATGACATGGGTTATATTGTTCCCTTTATATTTAGATGGCAAATAATTAAAAAATTTCGATAATTTACTCAAACAGACAGTTTGATTATAAAGAAATTTACTTTAGATAAACAATTATGTAATACGAACACAGGACTTATCAATCTCGCGTCAGGCGCTTAACCAAATAGGCCACTGAACCGGCCGGCATCAAATGGTGTTAATGTCTAACTTCAACCAATACATAAAGTTGCGCCACCGTTCACCATTGTCTTCAGTGAGTTGATATATCACAACAGACCTGGTTGGACTTCAGAGTGGTCTGGTTGGTTAAGCGCCTGGCGCGAGACTGGTAGGTCCTGGGTTCGAATCTCAGGGGGTGCGGGATCGTGGATCCGCACTGCTGAGGAGTCCCATACTAGGACGAGACGGCCGTCCAGTGTTCCTAGGTTTTCCATGGTGATCTAGCTTCAAATGAGTCATGATTTCAATCTGTGAAATTTCTAAAATCTCCACAAACCCCTTCTGATAATTATGTAATAATGAAAGGGTTTGAATATAGTTGTCAAGATGGTATTACAGTTATATAACGAGTAATCAGTGACGAATTAGGGTTGATTTAATAATTATGAAGAAGAGGAATGATAGATGCACTCTAAGTGAGGATGAGAATCAAAGAAGATTGATTATTCTGCAATTTTCTCATTCATCTCACGAAGGTTGAGGGAACTAAGCAAACTCTATATTGAAGTGGAAAGCATTGAATACAATAGGAAAAAAGAAACCAATTAGAAGCAATGTAAAACTCATATAGGTTGAATATACGATCCCGTAGAGATAAAAAAAAGTAGTGCGAGAAAATTCACTCAGCGCTGTGTAATTTTGAACGAAATTTGGCAGCTTGGCACTGAGTAAGTAAGGCCTAGCGAACATCGGAGATTTTTCGGCTGAAAGCAGATAATTTAGTGTGGACTGATTCGGATGAGAACTAGTGAAGCTTTCACAGATATTAAGAGTTTGACAACGTTTTAACCAGTAATACCTTCTACTATGAATCGTATCGACCAAGTGAAATCAAAAGAGAGAAGCCAGGAGGTTAGAAGATATATTTGATAGGCTATCAATATATCGAGGGTCGAGTGATCTAGACTGGCTAGCGATTGCAGATGTTGAACTCGACGTTCCCACTCGTGATCCGGTGTGGATGCATGAACACTACAGTAGACTATTTGGTGTAAATCACTGTGTGAATTTCACGAAATGATCCCTCCTTGAAGAGAAAATTTAAGGTAATTATACTCACTATTCAACCAAGACAGGTGTGTAACGAAGGAGACAATTTATAGTGTTACCGGAGAATTCAGACCGAAAATTCGATTTCGAAGATGTAAGTGGTTAGAGAAGTTGAAAGTGTTGGTTGGAATCGTAGTAGCTGGTGAAGATCTAGGGCACAAATTAATTGGTGATGTGACGATATGTCAGTTATGAATGATTAATGGTGTCGCGTGTGCGTATGATCAAGTTAGTGAGTGATTGGTTGAGTGAGTTTGTGGTTGAGTTGTAGTTTTGCGAATTGGAGTGATGAAGAATGTGCAGTTTGATATGGATGTAGAGTGAATGTGTGGAATTTGTGTCTGGTTATTGATCATTGGGAGTTGAGGGATTGTGAGTGATTGTGAAGTGAAGTGAAGTGAAGTGAAGTGGGTGAGTGAGCTGTGAGTTGAGGTGAGTGATACACATGAGATATATATTTGGGAAAAAGGCCATCCGAAAGTAGCAGATGTTTCACGCCTCAGAGGAGAGTGGGCATCAGATGCCCTGTCCGACCTTGTGCAGGAGACTGCCAACCATCTCTCCTTTTCTGATGCACGATTTGTAGTCGACAACACTAACACAGCTCACAACAACACACTTCACTCCCACGTGTGCAATAACTGACATTAATTTACTGTCGGTCATTGCTTTAATGCATTATCTTCTAGTCTGACTACTGTTGGTAGATGCACGCTGCTTGAGTTTGGTCTAAGCATCCATGTAATCAATGGTTTGAAAGTCTTGTTTACTTGGCTGAGAATCCATCCTTATGGCGTTGGTGTATGCACTCTTGGTCTTCCCTTAAACAAAGGGATTAAAATCACTTCATATCTTTCTTTCAATGAACCAATTCTTTCTTCCTGTATTATATCCTTATATGCAATCTTTCTTTTATATATTACCACGACTGTCTTAACCACTCCTATGAATTCGGTGTCCATCTTGCTGTGCTAATGCGGTATGGCAACTTGGACAGATGCTTATATGTGCCTGGTCCTACGTTGTAACTGACTAACTGACTGACTATGCAGTGATCATTTTCATTTCAGATCAAGACAATGAATGGTAAAAGAGATGTTATTTAGTTAAAATACGATAATAATAATTGTAATCATAAATTTCATATAACACAAATATACAAAATTATATATCTATATATAAGTAGTTTATAAGTAGTATAAATTCATATGAATGATAATAATGTTTATATCGTTTTCTCTCTTTTTTCTTTCTTTCCTTTTTTGTTCGTTTGATTTATTAAATCAATTGAAAAAATTATTGAACAAGTAAATTGTTATTTTTAGATAATTTTAAAAAATCTTTCGTTACTACTGATAAAGAATCTGTAAGTAGTACTGGTGATTCATGTGAAGAAGAAGATTGTGTTGAACTATGATTCATTGTCAACCATGTTGACGTCAATGATGATGTTGATGATGGATAGGAAGGTAAAGAATGATTGACTAAACTAAATATAAATTTATAACGACCGAATTGCATCATTGAACCATGTCTTAAAATAGCCAAACCTTCCCAACCAGTGATTAAATTGAATGATGAATCTGTTTTATCTACTAGAAATTTATCATTTCGAGTAAAATGTAAACTTGTACGATCACATCTAGATGTCATATGTGATAAATCCTGGTAAAGTATATAAAAGAAAAAGAAAAAGAGAATAGGTATAAATCAGGGTAATAATAATGATAATGACTGAGAATGAGAAGAGTCAGTTCTCCTTCTTGAAATGATCTGACAGGAAAATCCTACTTTTACTATATTGTCACCAAGGGGTTGTTGTTTATGAAATGAAGAAGATGAAAAGCAAATGTTCGACGCTTTAATTTAGTTGGTGGATATGAAGAATCCACCCAGGCCAGTTGAAGAAACGCTCATTTCAAACTGATGGTGTACATGGGGCTCCAGTATCCTGAGGGAACAAAAGGTGCATGAACCTATTGTTGGTCACTAGCTACCATGGGACTGCATCTCCTGACGCTGCTCGTGGTGTGACCTCGTGAGAAACGCACCTCCGTTGGTTTGGGCACCCGGGCAGCATCTCAGCCCTCACATGAATTGAATGATTTATGTGTAGCATATCTGTTTGGTGACTCCCCGTACCAATTTTCATCTGGTTAAATAAAATAATAATAATAGATTGAGTTTGTCTTATAACCGAATGAGACTTCAGTAGTAAACGGGTTCCAACGATGATATCTTCTATTGAATAATATCCATTTAAATCCATAGAGGAGCATGCAAGTTTTTCAAAGTGTAAATATGACTTGTTGTTGAATGTTAAATTTAGGGTTCAAGGATTTCTTGTCAATTTACTGGAAAACATTTAATTACACTACCACAATGTCTTACTTTTTCAGTTTGCATTCAGGAATATACATATAATTTAAACGCATAATCATAGGTACAAGGAGGCACCAAATAGATATGCACCACACTTTATCATTCGATTTGTGTGAGTGATAATGCCCGGGTGCTACAACGGAAGCAAGTGGTTCTCTTGGAGGGATACACCCGGAGCGTTCGGCCAGTGGTCTAATCCACAAGACAATGGAGCAATGTTAAGAGATGTAGTCATATGGCAACCGGTAACCAACAATAGATTCATACGCCATTTGTTCCCTCAGGATCCTGGAGCCTCTATAAACCATTAGTTTGGAATCACGGTTTTCCAACTCCCTTACGTGGACGCTCCATATCCAACTACTAGTTAAAGTACCGGACACTCGCTCCTCATCCTCTTAATCTAGCAAAAACACCCTCACCACGAAAAGGTAGTGAGTGGGACTTCCCTGGCAGTGATTGTATACGCGTGGCCAATTAAGAGCGTTTCGATAGGAAGAGTGGAATGTCCCCACCCTCGGTCACACCAGGCCATTCGAGGGCAATATATCACAAAGACGACTTTTTACCATTGTTATACAATATGCAACTCCGCCTGTAGCTCTTATAGGGTTGCTGCCGGTCCCAAGCTCGGGTAAAGGAGGAGGGTTGGGCATGGGGTTAGCGTCCCCATCCCGTAGAAAACTAACTCGCTAAAAAAACGCTTACCAGAAAAAATAATCCAAACCATTTTAACTCTGCCCTGGGAGTTAGAAGGTCTTCATTTAGAAGAATTATGACGCTTCATGGTGAAAGCCGAGTTCCTTCGGAAGCCACGAGGCCGATGCCTCTTCTAACAACCAGAGGAAAACTTTATAGGTACATGGAACGTTCGAACAATGTGGGAAACCGGGAAGACCAGTCAAATATCAATGGAAATGAGGAGATACAACTTAGCAGTACTGGGAATCAGCGAAACCCACTGGACCCAAGCTGGACAGAAAAGGCTAGCTACGGGAGAGCTGCTGCTATACTCCGGTCACGAAGAGGACAATGCTCCACACACTCAGGGAGTCGCTCTTATGCTGTCCAAAGTAGCACGAAATGCACTTGTAGGATGGGAATCTCACGGATCCAGAATCATCAAAGCATCATTCAAAACAAAGGAGGAGGGGATCTTAATGAATATTATCCAATGTTATGCACCCACCAATGATAGCAACGACGACATTAAAGATCAATTCTACGAGCGGCTGCAGTCAGTGATAGAGAAATGCCCAAGAAAGGACCTCACCATTCTAATGGGAGATCTATATGCCAAAGTCGGAATAGACAACACTGGATATGAAGATATTATGGGACGACATGGACTGGGAGAAAGAAACGAAAATGGAGAAAGATTTGCAAATCTATGTGCATTCAACAAATTGGTCATAGGAGGCACAATATTTCCACACTAGCGTATACACAAGGCTACATGGATCTCACCGGACCACACTACAGAGAACCAAATAGATCATATTTGCATCAACAAAAAATTCCGAAGGACAATGGAAGATGTGAGAACCAGGAGAGGTGCTGACGTAGCTTCAGATCACCACCTAGTTGTAGCCAATTTGAAACTGAAGCTAAAAAAGAACTGGACAGGTGGACAAACAGCAATACAAAGGTTCAATACAGCCTTCCTTTGAGATACTGTCAAACTCAATGAATTCAAGATAGCTCTCAACAACAGGTTCCAAGCCTTACGAGATCTACTGAAAGAAGAAGAAACCACTATGGAGGACAACTGGAAAGGCATCAAGGAAGCATTAACTTCAACGTGTCAAGAGGTTCTCGGTCTAAAGAAATACCATCATAAGGAATGGACAAGATCAAAGAAAGGAAGAACAAGAAGGGAGCAATTAACAACAGCCGAACACGAGCAGAGAAAGTCCAAGCACAAGCTGAATACATAGAAGCAAACAAACAAGTGAAGAGGAGCATTAGAGCCGACAAGAAGAAATACGTGGAAGAACTAGCAACGACGGCGGAAAAAGCTGCTAGAGAAGGAAATATGAAACAGCTTTACGATACAACGAAGAAACTATCAGGGAAATACAGTAAACCAGAGAGGCCGGTCAAAGACAAAGAAGGCAAGCCAATCACCGAAATTCAACAACAGCGTAACAGATGGGTAGAATACTTCGAGGAACTCCTGAATAGGCCGGCTCCAATGAATCCACCGGACATCGAAGCAGCACACATAGATCTTCCTATAGATGTCAATCCACCAACTACGGAAGAAAACAGAATGGCCGTCAGACAAATCAAGAACGGGAAAGCAGCAGGATCCGAAAACATACCAGCTGAAGCACTGAAATCAGACATCGAAGCAACCACAAGCATGCTTTATCTTCTATTCAAAAAGATTTGGGAGGAGGGACAAGTGCCGATGGACTGGAAAGAAGGACACCTCGTCAAGATTCCAAAGAAAGGAGATCTGAACAAATGTGAAAACTACAGAGGCCTTACACTACTGTCAATACCAGGGAAAGTCTTCAACAGATTAATGCTGAACCGGATGAAGGATGCAGTAGACGCCCAACTTCGAGATCAACAAGCTGGATTCCGTAAGGATCGGTCGTGCACAGACCAAATTGCGACACTACGGATCATTGTCGAACAATCAATTGAGTGGAACTCATCACTATACATCAACTTCATTGGTTATGAAAAGGCATTCGACAGTGTAGACAGGAGGACGTTATGGAAACTTCTTCGACACTACGGAATTCCTGAGAAGATTGTCAATATTATCCGGAACTCATACGACGGACTACAGTGCAAAGTAGTGCATGGAGGACAGCTGACAGATGCATTCCAAGTAAGGACCGGAGTCAGACAAGACTGTCTACTCTCTCCCTTCCATTTTCTCCTGGTGGTCGACTGGATTATGAAGATCTCGACATCTGAAAGAAAACACAGCATACAATGGACAGCTCAGAATCAATTAGACGATTTGGACTTCGCAGATGACCTAGCCCTACTATCACGTACACACGAACAGATGCAGATGAAGACAGCCAGTGTAGCAGCAGTCTCTGCATCACTAGGCCTCAGCATACACAAAGGGAAAACTAAGGTCCTCAAATTCAAAGCGGAGAACAGCAATCCAATCACACTTGATGGCGAAACTCTGGAAGATGTAGAATCCTTCACATATCTCGGAAGCATCATCGATGAACAAAGAGGATCCGATGCAGACGTAAAAGCGAGGATCGGCAAAGCAAGGGTCGCATTCCTACAATTGAAGAACATATGGAACTCAAAACAACTTTCAACCAATATCAAAGTGAGAATCTTCAATACGAACGTCAAGGCAGTTCTACTGTATGGAGCTGAAACTTGGAGAACTACAACAACCATAATCAAGAAAGTACAAGTATTTATAAATAGCTGTCTTCGCAAGATACTCAACATCCATTGACCGGATACCATCAGCAACAGCCTTCTGTGGGAGAGAACAAACCAACTTCCAGCTGAAGAAGAAATTAGGAAAAGACGATGGAAATGGATAGGACATACATTACGCAAATCGTCAAACTGCATCACGAGGCAAGCCCTAACTTGGAATCCTGAAGGGAAGCGAAAAGAGGAAGGCCAAAGAACACATTGCGTCGGATAATAGAAGCAGATATGAAAACGATGAATTACAACTGGACCGAGCTAGAAAGGATTGCCCAGGACAGGGTTGGATGGAGAACGCTGGTGAGTGGCCTATGCTCCTTCACGAGGAGTAACAGGCGTAAGTAAGTAAGTATACAATATGCAATTTCGCACCACAGCAACTAACTTAAAGTTGGAAAAACAATATAAAACAATAAGCATTGAACAAAAATATTTTGTTTTCATTCGAAATGTGTCGACATTATGGTATGTACATGTACAATCACTCTCCCTCTTTCTCTTTTTTCTGGTGTTGGTCGACAGGAGTATGAAGACTTTCGACAATTCAGGAAACCCACGGAATACAATGGACAACTAGACGATTTTAACTGCGTACACAACCGACAGCTTCTGTCCCATTCACACTAACAAATTAAGGTCAAAACAAACTGTGTAGCAGCAGCCAATGCAGCAGTAGGTCCAACATACAAATACAACACGGAGAACACCAGCTCAATCACACTTGATCGAGAAGCTCAGAAGAGGGGGAGTCTTTCACGTATTATCCCGTGTCACAACTATTCATTCTTTTATTATTGCAGTAAGCCTTTTTAATTTCAGACACACAGGCGCGCTAAGAGCCA